TATTTTGATAATTAAAATATCAAAAATAATAGTGAAAAGATTAAAATATCTTCAATAAATTAACACATAAAAATTTTTTAGAGTATTTAAATAATTTTATAAAAAAAATTTATATTTAAAGTGCCAAAACATCTTAAATTTTATTTTTTTTCAAAACTTAAAACGTAACTCATGAAAAATTTTTCATTTAGTTAAATTAAGCTTTTAACTAGCTTAATTGGCTTGACAGAAACAAAGCCTTTCATTTCCCTTCCTTTTTTTTACTCTTCCTTTTGCTCATTCGGATTTATTAAATTTCTCAAAGGAAATTACAGTAAGGGAATTTCCTCCCCTCAAACCAAATTGATTCTTATGGTCCATTCCTCTAACCTTCCCATGTTTGGGCATAGTAAAATGTAAAGGAATATTAAAAATAAATAAAGGAAATCCCTTCCCATCTAATATTTTTATCCAAAGCAAATCAATCAACCAATTAGTATTTGGAGTTGTTTTGCATAGTCATTTGGAGTTATCCATTAGTAATTTTGTCCAAACTATTATATAATAGTGTTTGATAAATTATTTTTTTCATTAATCATTAAATATTTAGTGTCTAATAAAATTTTTTATTTAACAGTTTGATAATAGTAAATTGAAAATTTTAAATTATTATGACAAATTTACTCATAAAATAATTAAGTATAAAACGTAAGTTCGAAGCATGATTACTCCCCTCTCATTTTCACATTAAATGTTTCAAGAGGGGATTACGTTGGAGTCCTAAAATTTTCTTCCTTTTACAACCAAAAAATGAAAAATAAAGGGAGAAGGGATGAAAAGTTTGCACAAGAGATTTTATAAAAGTTTAATCTAACCACTTGGTATCTAATTTTCTACCTTAACTTTACTCACTAAAGATTTTCTCCACATTTTCTATTAAGAAGAATAAGGGTGGCTTAGAGGAGCCATTCAATCATTTTACAAGAAATTAATTTCTCTCAATCTCACCACTTTACAATGTAAACCCAATAATTCTCACCACAATTCACTCTTGAAGGAAATAATCACAGTGTCAAGATGTCTCTCAAAGAATAAGAGTAGAGGGATTACAAGAAAAGATCACTTAATGCTCAAGTGTACAAGTAAAAGCACAAGAAATTGAATGCTTGC